TCCGTTACAATATTATCTTATATCTATTATAGATATCTATCTGTTATACATAAAAATATGTGTTAATATTCATATTGCATGACAAAAATATTAGGTATTTAATGTAAATGCTTTTACAACAATTAACTATTTTTGAGGTGACTATTTACTACTATAATGCAGCCGAGAAGCAATCAAAATATAAATTCAAAGTATTTATCTGTTATACAATAGAGAAAATCAAATCTGTTTTTTATACTTACATTGAAATGATCTTCACTACATGGACAGTAGTCTTTTCAGAAATATCCTTGTATACCTTTAACTTACTTACTTTAACCATTTTAAACGCAGGCTTATATCTCGTGGTACACGAATAAATAGCTTATCTTGCATTTTAAAAGTTGTGCTAGGACACAGTGGCACCGTACAGCATTTGTAATATTGTTTTTGTGCTGCTTCTATTATTAATAAAGTACAGCACGAATTCTGAACAGTCAACACCCAGACAATTCAACGACAAGTCGTATTCCCGTATTGCATTTCGATCGAATGACCAGCGCTATGACGTCACGACCATTCCCGCGCGTTTAGTGTCGTTTCAAATGAATAGCCTGCGGTCACAACTTTAATTGTTTATTACAAATTAAATATTGCGATTTGAGGGCTGATATTTGGTATGCGCAATTTTTGTAAATAGGCAAATATATTAAAGAAATAAAAAAATGTTCAAGTTCCCCAATATGATGCGTCTTAGCGACATGTTTGCATGTGGATTTATGAATTGTTGATACCTAAAACACGATTTAGCAGTAAATAGGACCGGACAATTTACTTTTCGTGCATAAATAAGTGGTTTTGGAAAAGCGAATTTCCAAATTTTTTGCGTGTTTTTTTGATTTAATTAATGGACCATCTAGGAATTTTGTTTGCTAAAAGTGCTTAGTTTGAAGTTTTATTTAAGTTAAGAAAAGAAGAAAATAAGTTCGGAGGGACTCAAACGAAACGATCACCTTTTTGAAAGAAAAACAAGCGGAATGATTTACAACTCGATCGCATTCCAGGACTGCTGCTTTGCCGATTAAGACTATGCTCACCTTATAGAAAATCTCGTAACAAACTACATTTTTCCTATACATTTTTCGAGAAAATGCCGTTTTCCACTACCATTCACCAAATTTTTGTGCCGTTGCCAGTACTATCATTATCACCACCTTAACCATCCATGAAATCGTCTTTCGAGAGTAATCAAATTGAAAACTTTTTAACAGCGTTTCAACATTTCGTTTCAAAAGTCATTTTAAAGCGGGATTTATACATATTACATATTATTACATTTTATTTATAACTCTGCGGTTGGTGCAAAGCGCATCGATATATTTTAACGAAAACCTCTGGAGCTAAGAAAGGCGCATGTTATGCAAGAAAATAATGTTGTTAATTTCTGCCAGTGGCGTGCGTACATGCATGCTACCGAATTTCCAATTATTTTTCAAGTTCCTTGTTGTATTCGAAACAAAATTTATCTCTTACATTTTTTGCTACGCCAAGAGGTTGGGACTCTAAAGTAAGATCTGTGGAAGGTCGGCCAAATTGGACGCTCTCCACAAAAATTGTTAAAAATGGGGCAACGATGAGAAAAATATTCTGCGAAGCGCGGAAGATCCGTCAACATCTCGCATACGACAAATTAGTAGGGAATTGAGTGTTTCACATTTGAAGGTACATCGAACAATATGCGGCTTTGGTTTTATTCCCCATCATCTAAGACGTGCCCCTTGCATCCATGAGATGGTGCCCAGAGATTCGGGTTTTATCGCTCGATTCAGAATGACCCCATTAATACCTCGAATTCTGTCTATCAACGAATCCACTTTTACTCGAGATGGAGTAAGTAATCTGCGAAATAGCCATGTTTATGCGGAGGAAAACCACTGCGACCGCGAAAACTAATTTTCAACAAAACTTTTCATTAAATGTGAGGTGTGAACTAATTGATGGTTATTTTATTGATCCCATTATTATCAATACTCGATTTACGCACTGAAGATCTTTAGACCTGCTGAAGAACTATTTAAATATGACGTGTCCGGAACGATGGATTAGACGTGGTTGCTCTGCGCGTTAGCCACCACGTTCACCTGATTTAACGCCACTAGATTATTTTTTTGGGGTTGGCTTAAAGGCACCAGAATACTACCTGAATTTGCCTTACGGGTAGTAAATGCAAAATTAATAATTTTAACAAGATCTGGCATCAGTTTTTATCTGCTCCATTACAAACGATGGTTCTCATTTAAATATCTCCAATTTGACCAATCGACCACAAATCTGGCTTTAGGAACCTAACCGCTAATCGTACCTAAAAATGCAGGATATATTTTTTATTTGGAATACAAGAAATTTGAAAAACAATTGTAACAGTTAAAAAATACTATGGTGCACCATTTTTCTCTTATTAAATTTTTTTTTTATTGGAAAACGTGCGTCTTTCCAAGCTATTGATCTCTGGGACGATAATGAAATTTCGTTTAAATGCCATTTAAAGAAATTTATCCTTTATGCCCTCACATCAAATTCTCTCCATACTAACTACCTCCTAGTATGGGTATCTTACTAATTTTACACAAGCACTACTTCCATCGTACTACGTTAACACTAAGATTTCACACTTACACTTTACAGCTTAATGCTTTACTTATTGTATTGTTGGGCCATCTGGTGTCTGGACCTCTTTTTTCTGGGCCCATAATCTTCTGGTGTATAATCTTCTGGTGCATAATCTGCGGCCCTTCGTAGTTGAGTGAAGGGGTGGTTTTTGGAAGTCCCTTAGGGGCTCCCATTACAGGTCCCTGTAAATTTGACAATTGCGTACAAACCAGAGTGAGACCATCTATGGACATCCGCAGAAGTTTATTTTCTGTGGCCAGAAGCTTCTTCGGATAGCTTTCTCCCGCATACACCCACACTTTGAAGGCATACGTCATTGCTGGCCTGATGATACTCTCAATCAGTAGGAGTTTATTCCTACTTCAAAAGAAAATTTCAATATTTTTCTCGTACTCCCCAAGTGAGCCTCTATCACCCCTTAAAAGGAATGACGCCAATTTTGAATCACCCTGTAGACGAGTCCATCTCCCCACACTCTGTCGAAATCTCTTTCGACGTACAGTTCTAGGATACCAGTTGTTCTCTTCTGGTTCATCTCCTTAGTGCATCGTGCCACATTTCTGAGCAGTTGAAGTTCAGTGGACTGTGTACCACGAAACCCAAACTGCTCTGCCGGCAATGTTAAACTAGCTTTCTTTCTTCGTCAGCCTCCGGAAGATAACCCTTCCTGCTATCTTGCCGAAGCTGGACAACAGGCGGATGGGCCTGCAGTTCTGATTGTTTCCATATGTTTGGGAAATGTCCAGTTCTGATAATGGCATTGATTAATTTGTGACTGCTACCAGTCTCTTTCTCGGCAGGCTTTTAAGCATCTTGTTGGTTATTCCATCCCATTTATTCCTTGCTCGTTATCTGTGGAATATGAATAAGGTAATGTAATACAATACAATAAACTTTTCCCTGCCAAACACCCTGTAAAATACTACAACGGTCGTCACAAGCGAGTCGTGTGAAGAAGTCGCATTAAGTAATTAGTATCTGCTTGATTCGCATCAAATTAGCACTCGCAACACGTTCACGCTTTAAACACTTCAAAATTTCACTCTCGGGATTTGTCTATTTCGGTCTCTATACACCAGTGTTATTTGAGGATAAGTCTTTACTGCCCTGCCTACTACCGCGATGTATGTACTAGTTGAAATAATTATTTTTTTGAATAATTAGCGAGGTGGTATTCTTCATTTCCTCACACAAGTGGACTTAGACCCGCACCTATTTTGGTCTGTCAGGCAGCATTTCCCGTCATATCCCATCAGTTTTGCTCATCCGATCCGCTTTCCTCAACGTTTTTGGTTTTTCGAGCCGGAATATCACCTACAAAAAAACTAAAGCTCATCTCATAAACTATGACCCTCCACAGACACAAGTCTTTGTTATGCATCAACTTCTCCCCTCAGACTTTGGTCGCATGTTTTATTATGTTGAGTATTAATTAAACTTTCTGTCTGAAGACCACTTCAGAGCAATTCCGACATTTTCGGCTTCTCAAAATTTCACAACAATTCACCGGTCAATCCATCATTACAATTTTATTATAACTATGCTATCATTTACTACCATGGCGTCTGACTATACTTGTATTACGTGAAATACATGATTTTATCAATTTCACGTGCATGAGCGAAACCGATATAGTAATTTTCTATGCATTGTTTCAGGACGTGAAAAGGAGACCTCCCCTTTGGCTACAAAATGTCCTTAAATTGGATGAAGATTTTTCAAAAAAAATTGTGAATTGGGCAGACAGTTGGGCTCCACTGCATTCATTGAGGTTGCACTACAAAGCTTTAGAAGTAAGTACACAAAATAAATTATTGATTTGTTGTACATTTTTTGTTACGATAATTGGAACTTTTTATCGGTACTGGTCTACAAAATATACTTTCTACTTGCACTGTGAACTAACTTAGTCCACCGAGTGCTAAACAGGGTGATTAACAATTGGTGCCAATTCTCTGACGGTGCTGTTTATAATTTTTCAGAGAGTACATATAAAATAGTAAAAAAATATGTGCATCTCCTGCCACGTGCCATGCCAATGGCAAGTCTGTAGATAATGTTACTTACTACTGTTACTTACGTTACTACACTTAGATTGTATCAATTTTATGACACACATTATTACATGACTATATCTTAACAGTTAGATTTCACATGGAACGTGGTTTATAAATGGTTTACATTGTATTAAATGAAAATGACAATTTGTTTTTATTTCTTCTTCCTCGTATATTAGGATTATATCCTGTTTTTTATCATCATCATAGCTTCAGTTATGACGCTCCAGCTTTCATACCAGCGGGTTGGTGCTCGTCCCGGGGGTCTGGTGTTGCCCATCCTGTCAACGTGGACTCTCCACTCTCGTCTCCTGTTGCGAGACCATCTCACGACGTCGTGGATATCGCACTTAGTTCTTATGTCGTCGCTTCTTACATGGTCCAGTAGGCTACATCCCACCATAGATCTTAGAGTTCTCATTTCAGTTGTTCTTATAAGCCGTTTAGTTAGGGCATTTTCCGCTCTGGTTTCGACTGCATACGTCATCACAGGTCTTACACATGTATTGCATATTCTGGCTTTGCTCTCTACAGACATATATTTATTTTGCAATATTATGTCTCTGAAACAACCCGATATCAACGTTGCTTTTGTTGGCTGCGCTTTCACTTCTTCTTTTAGGTCTCTACTACTTGTTATGTTGACCCCAAAGTATTTGAACTGCATAACCTGTTCAACGCTCTTGTTGTAGATGGCAAGCTTGCATCTGCGCGGTTCCCTTGATACCGTGAGAGACTGTGTCTTGATTGTGGATATTTGCCTGCTAAACCTGGACGCCATCCGTTCAAACTTTTAAAGAAGCCTTTGCAAGTTGTCCTGATTTTCGGTGATTAGCACGGCGTCGTCGACATAACATATCACCTTTATTTTCTCATCACCCATTCGATACCATTTGCCAACCTTCTTGACTTCTGTAATAATTTTGTCCATTATGATGTTAAATAATGCAGGACTTAAGCTGTCTCTCTGCCTTATTCCAGTTGATATGGGTACCTTCTCAGATAGTTTGCCTGTAACTTTTATGTAAGTGTAAGTCTGTGTTGAGTTCCCCAATAATTGTTATTATGTTGCGGTTAATACTTCTCTTCTGCAAAAGCGGCACGACGTCGGATAGTCTTACTCTATCGAAAACCTGTGTCAGGTCAACAAAGCACATGATAGTTGGTTTATTAAATTCTATAGCTTTTTCGGTTATTTGTCGGATGGTAAATATTGCATCAATAGTGGATCTGTTCTTTCTGAATCCCTGTTGTTCTTCGCATATTCCAGAAGATGCTACTTCTTCCTCAAAGATCTTCGTAAGGAGTTTTGAGATTGCACTTAGGTGGCCAGTTCCTCTGTAGTTAGTTAAGTCAGTTTTTGATTTCTTTTTGAAAATTGGTATGGTAATACTATATTTCCACCCTGCTGGTATTTGTTTTTTGTGCAGTACTTTGTTAAAGAAGGCATGTATCTGGTCTAACATATCACCTCTTTATTTAATCATTTCATTGCTTGTCTCGTCTATTCCCGGCGACTTTCAATTTTTCAGTTTTCCAACGAGTTGTTTTATCTTTTCCCTCGATATGTTTCACTGTTGGTGTGTGCTACTACCGTTTAGTTGTGATTTAATGGTTTTAGCGTGTACGTTAGTGTCTGTATATACCTCACAAAAGTGTTTCTCCCAGTCTTTAGCAGAGAGCCTGGTAGTTTGTATGTAGTCGTTTATTGGTTTCTTCCTGGGTCGAAGCATGTTCCACAATTTTTTTTGCCCTCCATACAGGTCGTATTCCATATCGTTGGAGAATTTTTTTCAGTAAGCCTGTTTTATTATTTGGATGTGGTTATTGGTACTATTTATTTACTATACTATTATTATTATTATACTGTATTCTAGATATGCCTTTCGTTTCTCCTCAGCCAGTAGTTTAATTTCTTAAACCAGGGTTTGGTATTCGGTTTTTTATCACTTTTCCCAAGTGCCTCTTCCGAAGATTTTAATATATTTGTCTTTAGTTTCTTCCATGCGGTTTCCACATCGTCTTCTTCTAGTACTGTGCATAATTTAGATTTTTTCTTCCAGTATTTGCTGGTACAATTGCCTTGTCATCGGATAGTGATTCCACATTGAGCCTTTCGAGGCCCCCAGTGCATTCCCCCTTTTTTTTTTGTTTTTTTTTGGCTTCCGGTGAGGTATGGGAAATGCTCTTTGACTCCAGGACTCCAGCTAAGCTGTTTACCGACTAAAACCCTTTCCTCACCGCCGAGGTGGTGTTTGGCCTTGCACCGCGGTCGTTTCTGCCCTATTGTGCCCTCGTATTTTACTACCCCATTATCCCCGTGTATTCAATGAATTCCAGAAGAATCTTGGGGGGGGGGAGGTACGACGCATGACCTAGTCTGGTAGTCATCCCTGGCTGCAGCTCGTCGCTTTTCCCAAGCAGGTGCCTCTTTATGAGTTTCCTTCCTGGGGAGAAAAGCTCTTCTGGGGATATCCGACCGCTGCCATGGCCATCTTAATCCCGGAAACCGCAACTTTGCACGACTTGTGTGTGGTTTGGTGCTGGCTTGTTGGGTTAGTTTGGGTTAGGCCGTCGGACCGGTGCCGCTTTTGCGTCCCGGTCATGGCAGCTTTTTTGGGGTGTTATGGTTCCCCTGAGGGTCTACCTAGCACAGTTTTGGTGGTTTTTCCGCCTGGTGGCCCCGGAAGGTTTTTTTACCACCCTTCGGTACTTTGCCAGCTGCGGAGCCCGACAGTTCTTCTGAAGAGGTCCCGCCGGTATTTTGTGGTGTATGATGGTGGTGTTTTCCTCCCCGTGAGTAGCTAGGGAAGAGTTAGGTCCATGCACACAGAGCCCCGCATGTGTGGTTAAGGCTAATACAATGAGGTGCGCCTGTTGCCTCAAGGTTAGTCGCTTTTGACTGGGATTCCCCCCAGCCTTGCATCTCTTGGTGTTGCCTCAAGGTTAGTCGCTTTTGACTGGGCTTCCCCCCAGCCTTGCATCTCTTGGCCCGCACTATACCGTGAGAATTGGGAGGTCGTCACGCAATCCGGGTAGTAAAACCAAGATCCCCGCGCCTTTTACAGTACCTATCCCGAGGCCGTAGCCACGAGACTCGTTGTACTGTAGGCGGTTTGCGGTTGATGCCACGAACTGGTCCGCGACGACGGGTTTCGATGCAGATCCGTGGGTTTTATTCCACGACTTTCACTTTTGGCCGTCGCTAACCGGTTAGACGTATCTGACCGGCCTTCCCCCTATCCGCCACCTGGGGGCGCGCCCGATGCACGGTTGAGCCCTCCTTAGTGATCGTGATCTTGGCCATTAGTACAACGTTATGGTTGGTTACGGCTTTCGCTGAGCTTAACGTTCTGAAGTCTTGTATTCTGCGTGGGTTGATATTTCTGTTTGTGATTATGAAGTCTATCATGGATTTCCGGGCGCGTGTATTTTGGAAAGTGTATTTGTGTTGTGGTTTATGGGAGAAAAAACTGTTGTTTATTCTTAACTCGCTTTGTGCGCAAAGCTGTATTAGTTGTTCACGATTTTCGTTTTTTATTTCTTCATTATATCGACTTTTTATGCCTGATATTACCTCATTACCGATTCTGGCGTTCAGATCTCCAAAGATTATAACTTCATCTTGGGCGCCAAAGTCGTCGAGCACCGACTGTAGGTTTTGATAGAAGGTTTCTATTTATTCCCTTGGTTTAGTGATGTCAGGAGAGTAGACACATAAGATGGGTATTCTTCGTTTTTATGAATCTGACTGTTACCTGCAGAATTCTTTCATCGATGTTTTTGATTTCATTAGTGTTGTTTTCGAACCTCTTGTGCAGCAGTATTCCAACACCAGCAGTTGCTCTTTCATTTTTATTCCTTCCGCTATAAACAAAAGTTAGTCTTCATAGCTGGTGTTTTCCTTGCCTTTCTGAAAGTGCGCAGATGTCGATCTTGTGTTTCTCAACTTGTATCAGAATTTCTTCTGTCTTGTTGGAGAGGGATGTTACATTCCAGCATCTAATACGTAGAGGTTCCAGTTTTCTCGCCGGGTTGTGGTTGGCTGAATCCGTCCTATTATCCGAGTCTAACTTGTTGGATCTTTGAGCATGATTTTTTTTTCGAGCAGGTTGCTAACCTCGCTCGGAAACCCTCTACTCTTGTCACAAGCAGAGTTCAGTTTAACTGTTTTTATTTAATTTTTAAAATACAGGCAAATTTAAACATTGAACCTTTTAAAGAAATATCTGCTTAAAAAACAATTTCAATTTACAGAAATTAATATCAAGTACCCCACTATGCGTCGGCCACGTAAATTTTGCCACAAGCAGCTTACAAATTATCAACTCTAATCAAGCTAAAAAATTATCTTTAAAATATTTAAAATATTTGCACATCATTATAGAATATTCCGTACATTAATGATTATTTTGTTTTTACTTGATTTAGATCACGTGCCACGGAATCCCATGGTTAGCTTCCTGGATAGCATTCATATGGCTTTTCGACAATCCCAGTTTAGTTCCTTTGCAGGTCAACGTGATTTTCGGTGAGTTGTTTTTCAAAGCCATAGGGTTTCTGTGGCAAAATAACCGACAGAGCCAATGTAATAAGTAAGATCGCTGATTGGAAAAGTGTATAAAGATACGCAACCTTATGGAATTAAATGTGGCCGAAAAAGTGCACAGCACGGTGTGGTGCACAGCAAATCGTCGATGAGACGGTTCAGTCGAACAAGAGTATAGGTGCCAACTACTACTCTTCAGCCTACGGTTTTGCGACAATTCCAACACTGCAATTATGCAATCTCGTATATGCTATTTTTTTTTCTCCATGGTTAGAGCACGTTAGAGGTTTGGCTATATGCACTGCATATATAAGCTTTGTTCTATGGTGCACTGTCCTTATCTATACTGTTGATGCCTGCTATAGCGTGCAAACGAATATTTATTTTCATAAACTGAACAACTTTTATCAATCATTAGCGAAATATGGATTCCATTGATTCCGCTTTTAGTTTGTGTGATGATTGTAAGCAATTAAGGTTTGACAGATAAAGATTATAAAACATTTGCTACTGGTTGGTTTAAATTAAAATATTTTTATCTTTGTCACTATTTCACCGAAAATTTTAGTCTTCGGGTAAATTCCCTAAAGTTCTAAAAATCGTACACGTGTCGCCACGAGCTTGAATTTTTCGTTTTACATTGTCACACTGTTGGGCATTTACTTAATAGAAATAAAAGGCGCTGATCAAAATTTTATACATGTATTGTTTCATCCTAGCCTATTTTTTTCAGAAAAATAAAGCATTTAGTTAAAATATTTGTGTGTATCAAATCCGTTGAAAAAATTTTTACTAAATGAAATAATGTTCAAAAATAATTTGATGTTGAAGAGTAAATTAAAGCATCATAAATATTTACATTGCCCATACATATGTAAATAATATACTAGTATTTGTCTTTATCTATGGTACAAGGTATTCTTTATTTCATGTGGCACACTTTGTACCACGGTCGTTTGTAGACAGAGCAAATATAGCTTTTGTCGTCTCTGTTTCACTTGTAATCAGTCAACATAATATGATCATCGTTTTTCATTTAATTCTTATGTTTTCTGCATACTACTTTAAATAAATAAATTATTTTTTTACAGTGTGATACCTTTCAAAACATGATCATTGCACATTGCATTGGAACATTGCACTCATCACACATATAACGCGTATCTTTCCTCTTCTGATTTTGCATACTATACAACGTTTTTGATTGTTCTTTTTATTTGCGTTAGATGGTATTAATGAAGGGAAATGTCGATCTTTCAAACATGTTGGATTTTCAGAATTGGAATTTCTTCTTCCACTCTGACTATCAGATTTATCATTATGTTGGTACATTTCTAAAATGTCTCGAATCAGCAGGTTTTGAAATTCGGGCAACGATACTTTTTTGCCAGTAGTGGTAAGAAATAGTGCCTGCGCATTTAACACAGCTAAGCCCATTAGATGAAAAAAACGTTTTTTATACCATTTGATAGTTCTACGTACGCATTCACTTGTTCTCAGCATCATATCAGTTCTATCAACGGCGCCCATGTATCGATTATAATCGAGGATGCAATGTCCCTTTTTTTCTCCACTTTCTTTGTCAATTTTACCTGTGCCTAGTATTTCACTATCATGGAAAGTAGTCAACATTCTAACTTCGCGTTGGTCTTACCATTTTAATGCTAACATATTTTGGATAGAATGGAATTTTATATCTTCTTGTCGTAGTTTTTTATTAAGCTTTGGCATTTCTCTTCAATTTTTTTTTACGGTACTACAAGCATTTGTCTTGTTGTTGTGTAGATAAGAAAAAAGATGTGGATTTACGTACCAATTATCGATAAACAATGAATGTCCATTTCGAAAGTAAGGTTTCATGAGGGCAACGACTATATTACCCGAAATTCCAAGACGTTTGCGTACATCCTCTCGCAAAGAATCCATTTCAGTGAAACGTCCGGTATATATGGTAAAATCCAACACATATCCAGTTTCACACTCGCAGAGTAAAAAAAAACTTGTGTTTCCAACCAAATCTGTGCCGTTTTGAAGGATTATATTGCTTAAAAAAATCTCGGCCTTTAAATAGTTCAAGCTTTCGTCAATACATAGATTTTGAAACGGATAAAATACTTCAGCAAACTGCCGTTTTAGGTGACACACTATTTTACGAATTTTTCACAATTTGTCTTCGTCTGGTCCTTCTTCATTATTATTAAAAAATGCAGCATACGAAGAATTAGCAAATATTTGTCGCGAGACCTAATTTTTTGAAACATCGGCGTTGATGTCAAGATATTTGTTGTCCAATAATTGTTAATAGAATTTTTCTTTACTTGGGCCATTATAAAGTTTACAGCAAAAAAACAGTACATCTCACCTACGTTGGTTTCTTGCCACCTTTTCAACCTCGAATTCTCGCTGATATCCTGGGCAGAAAGATAATGAAAGTACTTGTTAGTTTGAATCACAATATAGTCCATAATGTCTTCACCAAAAAACATTTTGAAACAATCTAATGGAGTTGCCGTGTTATTTAAGTTACATGCAGGTGAGCGACCTGAATTTTCGTTGTTGAAATTGTGAATATTAGAATTCAAATCTTGACTGTTCCACTTAAATGTTTCTGCATCGTTAGCACTTTGTTTATTTTCACATCTGGCACGCTTTGGTAAGTTAGCTTCCATGAATTCTTCGTCAGAAGTTTCATGGAATCCAGCACTCTGTATGTCGGATCAGGTGTACCACATTCCGACTCGACCTCCCAGCCATTATCCTCTGGATCATTAAGTGAAGCATTACATTAGCAATAGCTTCGTCGTCACTTTGGTTAAGAATTTCCTCTAATTCTTTGGCAGTGTAAAACTTTTGCGCCATTTTGAAGCACACACAACACGTGGAATCGTTTATAAAAATTTAAGGGTTAGAAACTCTATTAGATTTACAAATTGAAATAGAAAAGAAAAAACTTAATCTCTTTTGACATTAAACTGGGTGTTCATATTAATTTTTATTGAAAAAACTTAAAAATTAAAACTCCGTACAAGGTCACAGGCAACGTAAGAAACTTCTTTATAGTGTAACTCACTCTAATAGGTATTAAAACATACGAATCACTTGAAAGGTATATTTTCTTCCTAATTTAAAGCCTAGAAAAATCATAATTTACAAGTTGACTTCTAAAGTTGTTAACTAAAGCTTGGCTGTGTGGTTCTGGTACAGTGCCTGCTTCCCTAACAGCAATTAAATAATTTAGCTCTTCATTAATATCTGCAATTCTTCACCCATATTTTTTCCCATATTATATAGAACTGCAGTTGCCGAAATAATGTGCATTGCGGTCTCCAGTTTTACTCTCAAGCCATACGCCAAAACGGGAAACCTTCTTTTTCAAACTCCGAAACATCTTTCGATCACGTTTCCTGATCGGATATGGGACTTATTGTATAGCCTTTCGGCTCTTGTTGCAGGGTTAACAAATAGGATCTAAGACCATAGCCACTGTCACCCGTAATAAAAAAAAATCAAGAAAATATACTAAAGGGTCCCTAATCGGGCGCTAATGAGCCAAAAAGTGCCGGTTAATATAATCGTTGTTTAGAATACACAAAACAGTGGTTAAGCGACGGTACAACACAAGCGGTGCAACCGGGCATAAGTATAGGGATGCCACATGGTAACCATGTGGCTCGAATGAACGGTCATTTGTTCTGGTAGAGAATGGCAGACAATATTAAAAAATCTGCTTGTGTATATGTTGGTTGCTCCAACAAAAGACAAAATAGACACAATAAGATAAGCTTTTTTAAATTTCCCGTTTCCAAGCCAGTCTTAGCAATTTGTTTTCTTATATACTCTTTCAATCAACGGTAAGATATACAAGCCAGAAAGACAGTTTAACACTAAAACTATTTTGTTTAAAAGCCTCTATGATTTATTCTGTTTAAATATTGCATTTATGTTTGTTATGACAAGAAAAGCAAAAAAATGGGTTTCTAGAATAATCACTAGACGCAGAATGTGGAATGACAAATTTCACTCGTTAAATGAATTTTTTTTATAATTTTAGATTTTTAACATTACAAGTAGTATAAAAAGGAAAAAAGTTACAACTCCACATTTTACCGAAAACATTTAAACATATTTTTCTATTCAATCGCAGGTAAAATAACACAAATAATATTTAGGTAAAGCCAAATTTTATTATGTTTTAATTTATTCCGCGGCGAGTATCCGTTTCTGTGAGCTTGTGGTTTATTTTAAACCGGTAGAACCTTCCTCTTTTATCCGAGCTTAGGATCGGTAGCATAGTCATCAAGCTACTCAGTTCACCCAATGATCATACAGGCAGAGTTAGGAATAGTACTGATCTAACCACGACGACCCACGCGAGGAAACGGACAACGAATTGTAGAAAGAAGGATCTGCTGCTTGTTGCTACCTGGAATGTCAGATCATACAATAACAAAGACCAAGAAATCCTAAAAAAAATCAAAGACAACAAGATCTATATATGTTCCCTACAGGAAACGAAGATGAAAGGAAGAGGCCAAAAGAAATACGCAGAATATATTGTGATCTACAGCGGAGTTGAGAAGCAGGACAGAGCAAGAGAGGGTGTTGCGATGGCAATCAGCACAAAATACCAAAATTGTATAAAGGAATGCAACTACATCAGCCCACGATTTATAGCTCTAACACTAAAGTCAGACGACCAAACAATAAATATACTATCAACATATGCACCAGAAGACAACAGACCGCAGCTCCTGAGAGACTCATTTTTTGATCAACTGCAAACCACAATTGACTCACTACCAAGTGACCAACCCATGATAGTGCTTGGGGACTTTAATACACGAGTTTAGAAACGGAAAAGTCCCAGGAATCAAACAAAGGTTCAACGAGAATGTGCTGAATGATAACGGGGAACTAATGATAGACCTATGTACTTACCATGAATTGCGCATCAATAATACGTTTTTCGACCTAAAACCTCA